AGTGAATTCCAGAGTATTAATGTCATGGTATGTTAAAGCAAAGACTGTCAAGTCTAATTTTTGTAGACCTGCTAAAACCGAAAGGACAGTCTGAACAGCCAGCAGTTTTGACCCCTGAGCTATGTTTTCTAAAGTTATTCTGAAAGTCAGAGGGGAAAGGCAAAAAAAAAAAAAAAAAAAAACACCAAAAAACCAAAACAAAAACAACTACAACATGGTCTTTTTTGAACAGCTTGATGCCACAGTGATAGGAAATGTCTTCATCATCTGTACTGGAGGCTCTTAGAATTAGACTGTCAGAATCGAAGGGGCTGGAGAACTTGAATCCAGTTGCTTGCCTAATACTTATACCTCTGCTACATCATCCTAGACTGATCCTGTCTACTGTCTGTTGAACTGCTTGCAGTAAGGATTGTATTTTTCCTTGTAAACTAACAAGTTGCTGTTCCAATTTCAGATACTAATCCCTGTGTACTTCATATTTGCTAGAATTCACTGCTGACACCATGTGGACTTAGAGTTTTCTTTATGAGACAATTAGATAAGATTTAATTTCTTTAATAAATATAGGGTTATTCATATTTCCTGTTTCATCTTGGGTCCATCTTTGTAAGTTGCTTTTCAAGGAATGTGTCCTTTTAATTTGTCACATTTGGGGCGCCTGGGTGGCTCAGTCTGTTAAGTGTCCGACTCTTGATTTCTCCTCAGGTCATGATCTCAGGGTCTTGAGATTGGGACACCCCAGATCCACTGTGTGTGGAGCCTGCTTAAAATTATCTCTCTTCCTCCTCCTCTGCCCCTCTCCCCCTAAAGAATTGTCAAATTTATTGGCATAAAATTGTTCATAATAGCCTCTTTTAAATGTGTAAGTATTGCAGTATGGTAGTAGCATCTTTTTAAATTTTATTGCTGATATTATTGGTTTATAGTCTCTATTTATTGATCAATCTAAATAAGTTTATCAGTCATTTATACTTTCAAAGAACCAACTTTTGGCTTTGTTAATTTTCTCTAGTGTTTGTTTGATTTCTGTTGATTGATTTCTGCTCCTTCCTTCCTTCCTTCTACTTAGTTTGATTTTACTTTTTTTTTTTCTAGCTTGTTAAATTGGAAGCATAGGTCCTTCATTTTAAACCTTTCTTATTCTCCAGTGTAGTATAAAGAGCTGTTGTAAATTTCTTCCTCTAAGCACTGTTTTAGCTGCATCCTACAAATCTCTTTAAATGCTTTATTAAGGTATAACTGATATTAAATAAATTTACATGTACAAAAGTATACAAATAAGACATGTATTCAAGACATCCATGAATCCATCACTATAATCAAGGTACTGACCCTCTCACTGCTAAAAACTTAGTTTCTCCCATCTGTTCCCTGGAAATAACCAATTGGCTTTCTGTTAGAATAATTTGCATTTTCTAGAATTTTAGATAAATGGAACCATCAACTAAGTTCTTCTTTCACTTAGCATAATTATTTAAGATTCATCCATGTTGTTATAAGAGTTCATTTCTTCTTACTGCTGAGTAGTATTGCAATTTAATGCATATACCATGATTTGTTTATGATATCACCTGTTGATGATAGGTGTTTCTGGCTGTCCAGTTTCTGGCTGTTACAGATGAAGCTGTTTTGAAGATTTGTGTACAAGTCTTTGTATGGACATATACTTTTCATTTCTCTTGAGTAAATACCTTTGGAATGGAATGGTTGACAAATATGGCAAATGTGTGTTTATCATCTTAAGAAGCTACCAAACTGCTTTCCAAAGTGGTCATACCATTTTAGTCTCCTACCAGCATTGTATGAGGGTTCCAGTTCTTCCACATCCTTGGTATAGACTTTTTAGTTTCGGCTACTCTAGTAGGTGTGTAATGGTATCTCACTGTGTTTTTAATTTGCATTTTGTGAATTACTAATGATGTTGAGCGTCTTTTCTTGTGCTTATTGGCTATCCATACACCTTTACAGAAGTGTCCAAGTCCTTTGCTCATGTTTTTGATCAGGTTGTTTTGTTGTTGTTGTTGGTTGAATTTTAAGAGATCTCTGTATATTCTGGATATTCATTCCTTATTTTGGATATTTATCCCATATCATTTGCAAATATTTTCTTCCATTTGATGAGTTGCCTTTTTATTATATTTATGTATTTGGTATACAAAAGTTTTTAATTTTGATGCAGTCCAGTTTGTCTATTTTTTTGTTAATTGTTGCTTGTGCGTTTGGTATCATCTTTAAGAAATCATTGCTAAATCCAAAGTCATGAAACTTTTCCCTGTGTTTCCTTCTAAAGAAGAGTTTTATCGTTTTAGTTTTTGCATTTAGGTCTTTGATCGACACTGAATTAGTTTTCATATACGGTGCGAGGTAAAAGTCTAACTTCATTCTGTTGCATATGGATATCTAGTTTTCTAGCACCATTTGTTGAAAAGACTGTTCTTTCTCCCATTGAATGGTCTTGGTACCCTTGTCAAAAATCATTTGACCTTATACGTGAAGATTTATTTCTGGTCTCTCTATTCCATTCGTCTACATATCTGTCTTTATCCCAGTAGCACAATTTTGATTACTGTAGCTTAGTAAGTTTAGGAAGTGTGAGACCTCCAACTTTTGTCTTTTTCAAGATTGTTTTGGCTATTTAGGGTCCCATGAGGTTCCATATGAATTTTAGAATGGATTTTTCTATATCTGCTACAATGACACTGGGATTTTGATAGGGATTGCCTTGAATTAATAGATTGCTTTGGGTAGTGTGAACATCATAACAGTTAAGTCTTACAGTCCAGGAATACAGGATGTTTTCTTTTTATCTTTGCCTCCTTGGCTCAGTTTATTCCTAAGTATTTTATTCATTTTGATGCTATGGTAAATGGAATTGTTTTCTTAATTTCTTTTTCAGATTGTTCATTGTTAGTGTACAGAAACACTGATTTTTTTTTGTGCTGATTTTTAGCCTGCTACTTTATTTAATTTGTTTATTCTAACAGTTACTTTTGTGGACTCTGTAGAGTTTTCTACATAAAACCTGTCATCTGAAAATATAGTTTACTTTTCCCCTTTCCAATTTGAATGGCCTTTATTTCTTTTTCTTGCCCAATTGCCCTGGCTAAAATTTCTAATACTATGTTCAGTAGAAGTGGTGAAAGCAAGCATTCTTATTTCTAATTTCAGAGGAAAAGCTTTCAGTTTTCTTCACTGAGTGTGATGTTAGCTCTGGGTTTTTTTATACACGGCCTTTATTGTGTGAGGTAGTTTCCTTCTAATCCTAGTTTATTGAGTGTTTTTATCATAAAAAGGCAAAGAATTTTTCTGCATTGACTGAGATGATCATATAGTTTTTTTTCCTTAATTCTCTTAATGTGGGTATCACACTTACTGATTTGTATTTGTTGAAGCATCTTTGCATCCCAGGGATAAATCCCACTTGATCACAGTGTGTGATCCTTTTAATATGCTATTGAATTCAGTTTGCTAGTATTTTATTGAGGATTTTCCATCTTTGTTCATCAGGGATATTGGCCTGTAATTTTCTTTTCTTGTAGTGTCCTTGTCTGGCTTTGATATCAGGGTAATGCTGACCTCCTACAGTGAGGTTGGAAGTGTTCCCTTCTCTTCAGTTTTTTGGGAGAGTTTGAGAAGGATTGGTGTTGATTCTTTGAATGTTTGGTAGAATTCACCAATGAAATTATCTGGACCTGCACTTTTCTTTGTTGGGAGGTTTTTGATTACTGAATCAATCTTCTTACTAGTTGTTGGCTATTCAGATTTTCTCTTTCTTCATGATTCATTCTTGGTAGGTTGTATGTTTCTAGGATCTAATTTCCTTTTGATTTCTTCTTTGACCCATGGGTTATTTGAAAATGTAACTTAGTTCCTAAGTATTTGGGAATTTTTTTAGAGATCTTTCTTTTTACTAAGTCTAAGTTACTTCTAGTGTTATCAGAGAACCTTCTTTAGTATGACTTGGATCCGTTTAAATTTACTGAGGATTATTTTACTGACGGGAAATAGTCTGTGTGGTGGTCCATGTGTACCTGAAAAGAAAGTGTATTCTACTTTTGCTGGGTGGAGTGTTCTATAAATGTCCAACTGATCTAGTTAGTTAATTGTGTGCCGTAAGTCTTCTAAATCCTTTCTAAATATCTGCCTACTTGTTCTTCAATATATTGAGAGAGAATGGCGTCGAAATCTCTGACTATAAAATCTTTTTCTCCTTTCAATTCTATCAATTTTTATTTTATGTATTTTTAAGCTATTAGATGCATTGATATCTAGGATTGTTATGTCCTCCTGATGAATTGACCACTTTATTATTATTAAATGGTCTTCTTTATCCCTGGTATTAGTCTTTGCTCTGAAAGCTAGTGCTAGCAGGGTTTATCTTTGCAAGCCATTTGTGCCTTTACATTTAAAATATGGGTTTTGCATGTAACATGTAGTTGAGTCTTGCTCTTTTTTTCTGATCTGACAATCTCTTTCAAACCTCAGATACTTCAGGATACCCCTATACCATCAGTCTTCTCTTCCTTGAGCTAAACATCCTTTTATTATGGTTTGGCTGATACTTTTTCTAAATTTTTGGCCATTTTATCAAATTCTTTTGTGCATGTCTTGCTTAAAAGGCTATTATGTCACAAAGGATACTTTGAGTTGGCCTCTGTAAGAAATGCTGACCATTGCATATTGCATCAGTTGATTAATGTTGTCAACAAAGATCTGTATCTATTTGGTTCTTCACCATTTGGTTCAAACCAGTCTCTGCCATCTGTTCTACTTTACTTACCCTAATCATATCTTTATCTTGGCTAACTACTGACTTTTGATCTCCAGAAAAGTTTCAAAGGGACTTAACAAAAAAAAAAAAAATCTATTCATTGTTGTTCTGAAAATGTCTGTTTTATCTCAGTTATACCAATTCTAGTTGAGTTATTTTGAGTGTGGGTCAAATAAAACTAGATTATAACTAAAAGGCTATTAAAATGTTTGCCTTTTTTTTCTAGGTAAAAATGTCTCCTTCTTGTCATCCATCCAAAGGAGATTCTGCTGTTAAGAAGGTGAGTTTTTTTAAATTTATTACGCTTTTATTTTAATTCCAGTATAGTTAACATACAGTTATATTAGTTTCAGGTGTACCATATAGTGATTCAACACTTCCATACATCACCCGGCGCTCATCATGACCAGTGCACTCCTTAATCCCCATCGCCTATTTTACCCATCCCCCCCACCCTCCTCCCCTCTGGTAACCATCAGTTGGTTCTCGATAGTTCAGAGTCTGTTTCTTGTTCTGTCTCTCTTTTTTTTTCTCCTCTGCTCATTTCTAGAAGATAGTGAGTTTTAAAGGCACAAATCCACCTTCCTCCTTCTGTGTGTTTATTATCCTCTCTTGAACAATTGTCTCAAAATGATAATGATTTTTAATCATCTCAATGCTGTCAAAGGTTCTTTCTGATTGGACACCTTAATGACATATCACCAGAATTCCTTAGCTCTTCCAGGAAGCCAAATGGGGGGTTGGGCCTACCATCAGTCCCCTGGCAACTAAGAACTTTCATTGTTCTAGAATTCCCATTCTATTTACCAGGCAGCTATCCTGATCAGTGAGTGGTAGCAGATAAAAGATATTCTAAGGAGGATAGTCTAAGGTATTCTTTCCCTACTAATATGCTTTCCCTCCAGATAGCTGTGCCAGAGAAAACTGGCCTGAGATATTAGCACTTCATACTGCATAAGCAAGTGCTCCATAAATCCTTGTGGGATGGAACCCTTACTTAAGCCACTCCAATCCCTGACTGGAAACTTTGTAGCACAGAAAGGGTGTGAGTCTTTTCAATTGAGTGATTCTCAGATGGTGTCAAGAGAACCAGGCCTAAAATCCTCTTCTGTATACAGCTGCAACAGTGCAGTTGAAATGTGGTAAACAAGCTGACATTTTTTACTGTTTTCTTTTACCACTTTTATTTTGCTGACAATAAGTGTCCCTGGATGTAGGTTTTCTTTCCTTGCCTGTTTTATGATTTCAGCCAGCATCCATGTCAGTGAAGAATTGTAGAACAAAAATAACAACTTGCTGGCTCTGTCACCTAACAGCAGGTTCTAGCTTCAAAGCCGTGTGCCAAAACTAGGTCCCTTTTCTCTGCCTATAGAATCCCCTGAGACGTTTTTAAAAGAAAAAAAAGAATGAAAACAAAATATGTTATCCGAAAAGCCCTATTCCCTGCTGCCCAGGAAACTCTCTTCCATTTTTGTGGGGACCACAAGGGCAGCAGACTGAGATGATGATTGCTGCTGCCTGGAGCCACCACACTGTGACCTTAGCCGGGGGGAGGGCTTGAGTCACCTGGTCTCGCAACGTAAACAAATGAGGAAATTGGAATCCAGAGGGCTGTTTTTTTGCCTAAGCTTTCAAGTGTTAGCTATGGGACACACTTCTAAAGTAGAGGTTAAAAATGTGCTTTCGATTCAACCAGACATGGGTTCAAAGATTGACTCTTTCACTTATTTATCTGAATAACTTTTTTTTTTTTTTTTTTTTAAGAGATGGGGGTTGCAGAGGAAGAAGGAGAGAGAGAATCTTAAGCAGGCTCCACACCCATCATGGAGCCCAATGCAGCGCTCGATCTCACAACCCTGAGGTCTTTTTTTTTTTTTTTTTTTTTTTTTTTTTTTCATTTGAGACACACAGATACAGAGGGAGAGAGAGCATGAGCAGGGAGAGAGGCAGAGGGAGAGGGAGAAGCAGGCTCCCCACTGAGCCAGGAGCCCGATGTGGGGCTGGATCATCCCAGCACCCTGGGATCATGACCTGAGCTGAAGGCAGATGCTTAACCGACTGAGCCACCCAGGCGCCCCAACCCTGAGGTCTTGACCCAAGCCAAAATCAAGAGTCAGACACTTAACTGACTGAGCTACCCAGGCGCCCCTAGTAGAATAATTCTCTTAGTCAGCCTTTCTGCTTCCTCTGCTGTAAATGATGGCACTACCTCTCAGAAATATCCTGAAGACTAAATGAGATACTATTTAAGGGCCTAACACTGTGTTTGACACACAGTAAGTCCTTGGTAAATTATTGGCACATAGTAGGGACTCAGGTATTACTGAAACTGGTGTTAAAACACAAATCCCCCAATCCTAGTTAGATGTCCTGTCACTTTATTATTGCTACGTTGTATTGTTGTCCATTCAGCCGGTATTTCTGTATGTAGATCCTGAGCTAAGCAAGGGACTACAGAGATGAAAAACATAGTCTTTGTTCTCAAGGACCTCAGCACTTATTGGGGAAGGTAGCCATGTAAACTGACAATGACCGTACAGTTTGACACATGCCGTGGAAGGTGCACAGGGTACACAGGAGCAGAGAGGAGAGGCTGTGTGGGATGACTAAGCAGATTTAATACAACTCATGTGTTCCCATGGTAAAAAGCCCAACGAAGAAGTTTGAGAAAAGCTTTGTTACTACATTATAACGAAAGCAAATCCTGCCATACTTAAAGATGTTTAAATACTCATTTAGAAATAGCTTCATGTAACCTATTTGTTAAACTTGGTAATGGCCTAGCTGTCTGTCATTTCAGGTGTCTGACCACTGTCAGGGGTGTAGCAGTGTTACATAAGTAGGATTCTCTTACTCCTGTAATCAGCATCAGACAAACAAACTTCCAAAGCCAATGACTGGACACGGTGGCCCCAGGTGGCATTCCTAAGTGATCAGGTACAGACTTATTCGCTGTCCATGCAAGAATTGGGGCTATCTCTAAAATATTTAATCCAGATACATCTTGGATACATTTTATTTTAGCAATGAGAGCCCATCTCTCATATTTACCATTCTGATTAACAGACATCAATTTCACCAATAAAAAAATTTCTGGGTTTTTTGAGCAAATGAGCAAAATCTTAGGTGTTGGTCGATAATGAACAGCCAAAGGACTTTGAGTAGCTGCTTTTGGGAATTCGTATTCGCTCGCAGTCTCTGAAATATGGATTCTTGGTTAGGACCACTGACTGTCCCTAAGTTGAAGCTTAAACTAAATAGCACATACTTAATATCACACTGTTATGATGTCTAGAATAACTTTAAAATACGTATTGAAACAGGTGCCTCTCCCAGACTGAGTGGTCAGGGAAGGCTTCTCAAAGAAGATAAAGCTTGATCTAGCGTTGAAGCACAAGGGAAAAGGTATTCCAGGTAGACATGGGTGAGTATAGGACATCTCAGAAATGGAGATGGTTCTGTGTGTCTTAAATATGGGAGCATGCAGAGGCTTGGTGAAATGAATGGGAATCCATATCACAAAAGAGCACTATTTTGTGAAGTTTGCTTTTTATCTTGAGGATAAGGGTTTCTGTCAAAGGTGAGATTAAAGGCAGAAAGATCGATCAGAAGAATAGACAGTGTCCAGGCAAGAAAAAGGTCCTGAGGCTGTGCTGTATTAATGGAATGAGATGAGGTAGATTCAAGTCTTATTTTTTCTCCCCCCAAAAGGTGTCCTTCTGACACCTTAAGTGTGAGCCAGCTGTCCTTCCCGTGAGGAGTTCTCTCTTATAGCACCCGGCACTAGTCCCCACCTACCGACATGTTTACCGGGCTTTGCTGACCTTGCCTCATTACTTCTGTGTCTGCCCCATCAGAGACTGCCTGCCTCAGGAAGGCACAGCCACCGAGTCAGACTTGTTTGCTATCATATCCCTAAGTGTAGAACCAAGTAGTCGGTAGTTGTCGAGTGAAGGAGAGAGATGTCAAAGAGATTCCGCAGGATTCATAGCTGTTTACGGGAAGTGAGGGGGGAGAAAGTAGTTTCTGGGCCTGAGTAAAGAGAGAAAGAACAAATGAAACCTCATTGCTGTCTCAGGCTTATAATCCCAGCGTGGTCAGTCCCTTGCTGTTTGAGCTACGTCAGCAGTATTCTAAGTGAGACCAGTGTGAAACTCAGCACCTAACTGGTACTTCCCTGGTTGTATACGTATTTTTGTGTGTATGTTTGTGTGTTTGTTCCTGCATATATATGAACATCTACAAATGTATTCTAGGTATCATCCTGGAGCTACATTGTCAAAGTTGCATTGACAGATGGAGGCCCCAGCAGTGTCTGTTGAACAACTGACTGCCAAAGTGATGTGTAGGAAACACAAAGGAGCAGTAATGTTCTTGATTTGAGCCTGAGATTCTCTGTTGACCAATAACCAAAGAAAGTGCTTGGTGACTGTGTTGTTAGTATTGGCTCTGGCAAGAGCTGCGCGGAAGTGCTGAGGAGAACAGAAGCCATTTTCTGTAGGGTTCTGCCTAACTTCCTGGGATAGGTGTCTCCTGTAGCAGTCGCTCTTCCACTCTGCTGCCACCTGTCAGAATGTAGCAAATTTTATGAGCATGTGTACACAACTCTTCAAAACACAAGCATTTTGCATTTTAGATAGTCTTTTAGAAAGCTCTGGATTAGAAATACTTGTATATTATATATATGTGGCATACAAAATTTGTAATATTTATCTTATGTATATAAAATTTCTTCTTAAGTGGCTCTGATAACTTCAGTAAAGTTAGAAGATACACATGCTTCTCTAGGGCTTGTTCAGTGTTTGATCATGGATGACCGGAAATTTAAAAATCAGGAAGCGTTTTCCTAAGATAAAAATTACTGTAAAAGTCCCTTGCAATTGACTCACTAGAACAGATTAAAATTGGAGGTGTTGATAATGTTTGAGGTGACAAATGATTTTAGAGAGTTAGTTGAAGGCAGCATCAAAAACCACTCAGCTTTGATGCATCTTTTCTCAACTACTAAAGAAACACCAACCAGGAATTTGCAAGGTTGGGATTATTACATGCATGGTAACCAGAGAAAGTAATTTTGTCTTACATCTCAATCACAAAAGCATAGTTGTACTTCCTGAGCCATCCCCTGTTTTAGATGAGCTTTCTCTGCTGGTGTGTTTGCAGAAGCCTGAGGAGTCCAGAACTCTGGTTAAAGAATATCCTCACGCTGGTAAAACCCACTGGAAGAGTCCACGGTTGATGGTCTTCCAGAGTGACTTCTTCAGCCAGGGACAAGGTACT